CCATAACCTTAAAAATAAGTTTTGCTGGCGTTTCAAAGTATTAAGTCTAGCGTTCGAGATACACGACCGCTAAAGCGACCTTTTCCAAACTTGGGGGCCACCGAATAAAACTGTGTGCTTAGTATACAAAGTTAGCTATGTAAAATTGTTCGTTCGCTAACAGGATCCTCAAAGCATGAAATGTTTCTCCTGCAGATGTTGTGATGTTACCCTTATGTCAATTTTAAAGGGAGCTTGACAGATTTATGAACTGTAATGCGTCAGAACAGTGTGAAATTGAGTTTATCTATAATGACTTAGGCTCATATTTTCGTGCTTGCACTTAACGTATTCACAAACACATGTTTTCTGTGAATGCTACACGCAATTTTACTTTGCGAGTACGGCGCTCCACTTTTCACCTATATCCTTCCTCAATAGAATGATATGATCTGTAATTGTCCAACAGTTATTTTTCGGATAAGTTAGTCAATGTCCACAACGTAAAGCATTTATAAAACAATTAGGCTTCTTGTCGAATTCAAGCTGGTCGCATCTGTAAAGGCTTACATGTAGATGGGAATTGTCCAGTAAGCAGGTCTGCAACCGAGGTTACCCATCAACAGGAAAGTAGTGTAGGCTACCTCTTAGTTCACTTTGCACAGATCTGTGGTGCCACTTTTTAGTAAGTAAAATCTGCTTATTTTTGACCATTTCAGAGGTCCGCATGATTTCTCGCCGATTATTTGATATGTAACTGGTTCCGAACATGTCAACAATATTTCGTTTCTGGTCACATTATTTGGCTGTATAAAAATGTGTCGTAAGTGGTGTGCTCGACAAGACTGAGATTCCCATATCAAAAGTCAGGGAGAAGCAGCGGCGAAACACAACTACAAATCAAGAACGGACAAATAATTCAGGTCCAAAGGACATTTCTCTGGCCGAAGACCGTCATTCTGACAGCCTAACCGATGCAAAGGTGCTAACTCCTGAGGCTGCTCGAACCAGTGGCCGCTGTCTAGAAATCTATTATACTAACTGTCAGAGTCTTCTCAACGAGCAAGATGAACTCAGATTACTAGTCGATGAACAGAAGCCACACATAATTGTCCTAACAGAGACATGGTTGACTGAGGAAATTAGAAGTAGCGAAGTCAGAATTGAAGGCTACCAACTGTTCCGTTGTGACAGATCTCAGCGTAAAGGAGGAGGCACAGCTATTTGTGTGCCAAATGAACTTTCGTGCTGTCAACGAGAAATATCCGATGGTGCGCCCCGAAATTTTGAAATAATTTCATGCAAGATATGCATCAAACAATTACCGACACTGAACCTGTGTGTTGTCTATCGGCCTCCCAGCTCGAATGAAATCGCCGATATGGA